CCATTCTTTAATTTAATCAGCACCAAGGGTGTCACACGAGCGACACGTTAAGCTAATAGACGGGGACGCTGCTGCTCCAGAATTAAAATGATCGGAAAGCAGAGGCAGGAGCCGGGCGGCTCGCTGAGAGGCTCAGCACCCACCCCTGGGTTCACAGCAAATCCTGCAGGGCGATGCACAGAGGGGAGATAAAGCTCAATTTAGGAGTATCATTTTGGGGAGAAGCCAGTTATTGCTCTTGGACTCAAGTCAGGCATTAACATGAAGCTCAACGCCCTTGGCAGTGCACCCCCAGGGGGTTTGGCTCCTGTTGGAGACCCCTGGGCTTCAACGCTGAACTACCCCACAGGCACACGTCATTTGGGGAGCAGGATGGGCCCAGCCCCTGCCTCAAAGCAGCTCCCCTGTTCCCAGCTCAGCACTGGAAAATGAGAGGAAATTACAAAAGCAAAAAGCAAGGCTATTGCTGCAGCAACATCCACCAAGGGGGCTCTGCGGGGACGGCGAGTGCTGGAAGCAGAAGGCAATGTTCCTGCCGGAACGCCGGAGCGATTACATCTTCTGCAAGGACAGAAATGAAGATTAAGGCCCCGCAGAAACGACTGACGATTTCAAGGGAAGGCACAGAAAGGGAAAAAGGAAGAGAGAGAAAAGGGGAGGCTCCCACTCAGGAGCACGGCGCAGGGCAGCGCTGGGCTGGATCCTGCCCCAGCCTGCGGGGAGGCCGCCTCTCACCGGGGCCTCTTGGCACCAGCACGAGCAGCCCCCTCACTCCTTTCCCCCACGCTCTGCCTTGTGGGATTGTGAATTTTAGGTCATTTCCACACTAAAATGATTTGAAAAGCAGAGGGGCCAGCCCCTGCTCTGGGCTGCGCAGAGGAAATTCCTGCCGGTGCCTCGGGGGCTGCTCCTCGCCCCAGCACCGCCGCCAGGAGCTGTCAGCTCTCGCTGCCCCCAGCCCCTTGCTCCGTGAGCCCCCGAAAAAGAGAGCAGCCAAAGAAAATCTTTAAAACCTGTTAATGCTGAAAGTGAGCCTCCCGAAAGGCTGCAAACGTGAGAGCGAGCGGTGCAGAACAACTGCCTTTACATCCCCCACCGGACGGGCGTGCGAAGGACCTCGCATTTACACCAGGGCGTCCTGGGGACCGCGAGGCACGGCCCCCACGTGAGGAACGTGCTCTGAGGAAGGACAAAAACAGCAGAGAAGCGTTGGGAAGAGAACAGTTTAAGAACCCTCAGCACCTCGGTGCAACCCCACGGGGAATTACGGTCGTAGGAAATGTGTTGACGTGGTGGTACAAGGAGCGCCGCGCAGCCCACGGTGCCAGGACACCTCGGTCCCGTTGCTGTTTGCAGGACTGGCTGTGGAAAAAGTCCTTCTGCGTGTACCAGCACGCACAAACATTCTTCTGCTGAGGCCTTTTATGATCGCTTTAGCAGCAAAAATGCAAACTGGGCCTGAGGGCAGAGCGAGGCGGGACTTGCCCACGGGCCATGAGGTGGCTGCAGCGTCCCGTTCCTCCCCACCACCCTGCCCACGCTGAAGCCCACCCAGGCCTGGCCCAGCCCCTCCAGCAGGGGCACACGGCGAGCTGGCTGCTCTCACAAACCCCTATAAAACTCGATCAGATACCTGCAGGCATCCCCAGAGGTGTGAGCGAAGCAGCATCTGCCTGGAGGCTGCCCTGTGCCATGAGGACGCATCCCCTGTGGGGCAGTGACTGCCCCCCGCAGCCACGCGTCTGGATGTGCTCGGAGGGAACGATCCCATAAGAGCAGGTCGGCCTTGACAAGAACCAGTTTCCCTGTTTCTTGGCTCTTGCCCTGAGCTTGCGGGGAGGTTTAAGCTATCACCTGCTATATTAAGCATGATATGCGGCTTAATGGCCAAAAAGCGCGGATCTGGCCTTCTGCCGCCTCTCCCACCCGCGCTCCCAGCTCTTAAATAATTTGCTCCCTTTAATGTCTTTATTCGAACAGGTTTTGAGGCATGGCAGAAATCCACTGTCAGCATTTATGGAGAGAGAGGGAGAAGGAGGCAGAGAGGCGCAGGCAAGTTATCTAAATCCCGAAAAGCCTCGTTTGAGGCTCGAGACGAACAGGCACCCTATAAAACACAGCAGGCAGCGAATCCACAGCTCCTGGCACTGTCGGGGCTGCGGCCCTGTGCCTCCTGAATCCCCCCCATTGATGTCTGGGGTGCCCAAGACCTCTGCCAAAACGCAGACCTGCTGCAAGACTTCATAAAGCCAACACCCCAAAATAAAGGCACGCTCGGATCACTGCTCAGCCCCTGGCAGTGAGGACGAGCACCCACAGCCACCTCCTTGGGGACATCCTCCCCGGAGAGTGACTGGGTTATTTAGGAACCTGACGGAGCTGGGCACACACCCAGGCCCATAAAACCCCTCTGTGGTGAGGGGATGAAGAATCACAGCCCCATGGGGTCCTGCAGGCCCCTCACCCTGCGTGGCACTGCAGCACGTTGCCCTCCTCCAGCCTCCAGCGCCCCATCCCAGGCGTTTATCGAGCCGAGAGCATCGCTGCTGCGTGGGAGGGAGAGGACGGCAGGGAAACCTTAATGCCATGAGCGTGTCCTCTAATTAACAGTGAGCCAAAGTGCAAAACCACCCAGAGCACGTGCAGTGCACACCCCAAACAGCAGTAGCCAAAGGCCAGGAGATGCTGCAGGGCCCTGCCAGAGCAGGTGAAGGGGGCGGGGAATAAAGCTGAGAGCAGCCGAAAGCAATTCCTGGGGAGAGCAGCAAGTGTCTCTTCCTCTATAAGCACACTCGGAGCTTTCCTTGCCAAGCTAAACATTATTCTAACTGTGAAACTGAGACCGTAATACGTGTCACAGTTGGAGACTAGCAGGTTTTTATAACCAAATCTGGGAAACAACAGGCACACGCTTACTCCTAATACATCACAGCTTTTCCCTGGCTGGAGCCTTCCAGCAGGTGAGAGGAGGAAATCCCTCCTGGGGCCGCAGAACCTGCAGGCGGCGGGTCCCCGAGCAAAGCCACCGATGGTGGAGGGGACACACAACGGGCTCGCTGCCGGACTTCCCCACCCGCTAAAACTGCGAGCACACATTACCCATCTTCCTGAGCCCATCGGCACAGCCGTTTTGCGGTCATTAAATGCATTTCCTTTATGTTTCCCCGAGGCGAGAGCAAACCTTGCTTTCAGATCATTTGCGAGAAAACTCTCCAAAGACTATAATTTACCTGCTGCCAGCGCCATAAATCTTTAAAATTAGTGAGCTGACTGTTTGCTAATGACCATAAATGTGTTCGCTAATACAGCCACTTTTTAATTAGCTCGCAAGAAGAGCTCTGGGCGTCGCGGGACGCTCGAGGCTCCGGGGTGTGAGTCAGCACCGGGGTGGTGCTGGGCGTTATAAGGGGGACAGGGCTGAGCCCGGCACCCCCCCACGGCCGGTGGTCTCCCTGTCGAAGCACCAGCTCCACGGGGTCACGTTCCCCTCCCTCGCCAGGCAGCGGTTCTGCCTGAATTGCCGCGTTTATCCTTAATTACCGTGCGGAGAAGCCTGATGCATCGACCGCCGCGTGGTGGCTGCAGAATTCACGTGCCGGGAGAGGCGATTTCCAGAAGTTCACCTTGTTGCATCCTTCCCGGGAAGGGACCGTGGGTTTTGGGGTGTCAGCAAGCTCACACCATTAACGGGGCCGGATCCTGCCCGCTGACAGCCCCGACCTCTGTGCCTGCAGGGGCAGCAGCTTTCCGATGGCAGTCACAAAAGACGGGGCTGCAAATATTAGTAGTGCTCGCAGGCATTTTGCAAGGAAGACATTTTAATTTAAATCAATGAGTTATTGATTCATTTTTCATGCTGGAAAGGGAGAGCGCAGTGTGTATTTCTGCCACTCGATCTGTACTTCTGATGACCTCAGGCATACAGTATAAACCTGATGTAAAATATTTCCTTTCCTAATAGGGGAGCTTTTATGGCCTTGGACCTGAGCGAGCAGAAAGTCATCTGGGAAAGGATGCCTGGATAGGAAACCATGGCAAGGAAGGTAATTAATGTGCGGCGCATACTCTCAAATTAGCCTATCCCTGAAGAGGAAGGAAATGAATCACAAGCTGAACTTTTATCCAGCCTCGGGGTCTTCTCAGACACTTACAGAATTTCCTGGTGCAGAGGAGCCGACGCAGAGCTCGGGGATGAGCAGTGACACCAGGGCACGGAGCTGGGCCCCGCACCTCCCAGGAAGCCTCCCCGTGCCCGGTGCTTGCTTTTGATGAAGGATATGGGGTCATTTAAATCCATGCCCCCAAATTGGGGGGCTGTGCTAGGGGGCTGGGGGCTTGCTGGTGCCAACGAGCTGCACCATAAAGGAAGGGCCAAAAAGTCCCTTCAGAAAACCTGCCAGGGCAAGGTCTTCGCCGCCGCCTGCAGCAGGAAGCGCTGCTGGGGGGGATTTTTTGGGAAGATCTGCTTTAGGAAGCTCAGGGGCAGCTTGCTGTGCCGTAGGGACAGCCACCATCTGCGCTGTGACACAGAGGACCAGCCCAGAGGACACACCAAGGACCAGCATGGCACGGGTACCGTCTGGACTCCAGAGACCCCTCACCCAAAAAGCCAAAATCCCATGGGGATGGGATGTGGGGCAGGACACAGAGCCTTGCAGCGACCTCCTGGCATCTCACAGCGCCTGGGCTCCAGCCAAGGAAGGTAACAATGACCACAGGCACCCATGACCTTGTTTTATGGCTTTTCCTCCCCAGAAATCAAGCATTTCGATCAGCCTACCGGAGGAACAGCCTGGCTGCGGAGCAGGATCTGCCAAAAGGGTTTTTCCACAGCTCCCCACGAGGTACAGGCAGGGCTTGGCCCAGCCTGCGGAGCTGCGTCCTTTGAAGCCCGGCTCATAAAACAGCCACGACAACCAAACGGCTTTAATGTCTCCAGCAAAGCAGAGCTATAAAACCCTGAGCGAGCTTCCGAGAAAAGCTGCCTGTTGGGGGTCAGGGCACAGCCGGGGAGGCAGCAAGGAGCTGGGGGCAGCAAGGATACCCCGGGGTATTTGCAGCACCGTGCTGTGGCAAAACCCACAGGCAGAGGGAGGCAGTGCCACTGCCCCCGAGGTGTGCCAGGGATGCTGGAAGGGGTTTGAGAGTCAGGGAGGAAAGGCACAGCCCCTCCTTGCACCCTGCTCACCCCCCAGCACGGCAGTGGCTGCCAGAGATGCAAAGGGGAAGGTGCAGCCCTAAAGAAGCCCTTTTGCAGCTTCTCCTTCTGCAAAACCTGCGTGCAGGCAGCGCTGGCTGCTCACTCATCAGGGCTTTTCGGCAAAGGAGGCGCCGCATCAAGGGCAGTTTTTCTCCTCGGCACGACAGCCTCGAGTACTCGCTCAGGCACCAAAACCAAGCCAAGAGAGAGGCTTGCAGGTGAAGGGAAGAACTACCCCATATAATCTGGATAATCATTCGGGGGGATGTTTGGAGAAGAAACCCTTCTGGTAATATTAAATGATGAATTGCGTGCCAATAACTTCCCCGGCGCCGATCAGAAGACATTTCAGAGACGAGCAGGATACGAGGCCGGTGCTGACAGTGACAAATTGGAAGTGCCGACAGACACGCCGCCCTTCCCAGCGCGACGGCGAGGAAATGCCATGTGTCAGCATTTACAAATTAAACCTGCAAGCGGCTGCCGCAGCCTGCAGGACGGAGCCTCCCGGATAAATTCCTCTGAGTCACTGCTGCTTCAGAGGCGGCTCTCTCCGAAATTAGGGTGGCTCTGGGCTGGTTTGAAGAGTGAAATGCAGAAGCCGCATTTGTCATGCAGCAGCGTCCCAGCTGGCATCCCCATCCTCTGCTCTTAACCCCTCTCTCTCCTTCCTGCACAGGGCCACGGCGTTTTGGCCACGGCTCTGTCTCCGAGGGGGGGTTTGGCGCTGAAGGACACAAAGGGATTTGATGCTGGGTAGGATGGTGAGGCTGGAAACCCAAAGCTCGGGATATTTCTCCCACAAAGACGACCCCAGGTCCCGTCCCTGCCAAAAGGTGGGGACGTTTTTCAGTGCGGGGTCACCGTGGGAAACTTCAGGGTTGCAATTAGGAGAGGCAAAAGAGGAAAGTGAAGCCCGAGCGGTGCCTCCATCAGGGAGCACGGCCGCTCCAAAGGCACCTGCACTTGCCAGCAGAGCAGAAGGACCCCGGCAAAACCCGCCGAGCGCTCCAGAAGCAGAGGTGCCTTGCCAAAAGAAGGATTCCTGAGCAAACAATAGGTCTTTGTATCGTTAAAGAGCACCAGATGGCTGCTGTTGGGGTGATCCAATGTTAGGAGATGCGCTAATCTGTTGTCAGTGAGGAACAGGGACAAGGAGCAGAGCAGAGCAACCTTGCACCAAGCCAGGGCGTAGCTGTAAGGAGAAAGAGCTGCTGTAAAACGCCTCCCTGGCTCAAAACCTGCAAAAGTGCTCAGGGCCAGTGAGCCTGGTCTGCAAAGGAACCGGGGGAAGAAGCAGAGCTGAGAGGAGAGGGGATTTGGCAGCCTCCCCGGGGAGGTACACCTGTGTCACACCAAAGCAGGGCGCAGGGACGGGAGGGGGAATCAGCAAAGGCTTGTCCCTAGTGTGTTAGAGGGAAAATCCTCTCTCCAGATGCGTCCCACATGTGGTGCCCCCACATGCTAACAGCGGGATGACTTTATGCCAAAGTCTATAGACCGAAGGGGGGCAGGGGGAAAAGCACCAAGTACTGAGTCAGAGGAAGAAATTTTGCCTATAGATGGTAGAAACGCGAGGCAGAGCGCGTGGGATGGATGGGGCAGGTGGGGGAACGGCCGCCAGATGAGGTGGCACGGAGACACCCAGCGAGCCACGAAATGCCAGCTGTGGAGCAGGACAGAGCTGGCCCCAGGAGCTGCGCATTACGCGAGGCGAGGCAGTAAAACCACAAGAGCCAAGCCAAAAACTTGCATTCTGCAGCGCTGCTGTCATAATCCCAGCGGGCACTATAAACTGCACAACAGCAGAGAGAGGATACAGGCGGATATTTTGGGTAGTAAAAACCCAACGATAATTCCAGCTAGAACCAACCGAACCCACCAGCCAAATGACCCCAATCCTGCGTGTGGTTGCTGGAAAGGGAAAGCCAAAAACTGCCCGGAGCTGCTGAGATTCGGGGCCCTGAGCATCCTCTGGGCACGGTGGTGCTGGAAAGGGAGGCACCCCTGAGGATGGGACCCCGGGCTGGAGGTGAGATGGGAACACAGCCCCCGGGGGGGATCAGACCATGATGGGTTTTGGGCCACCACGTTTAGGGCAGCGGGGAGCTTGTGGTTTGCACACTAAAGCCACGTTCTCCAAGGGAACAGAGGCACACCCAGCCTGTAAAGGAGTGCGTGCTCCTGCCCAAATAACCAGAGAACTGGCTCGTGCTGCCGGGTGTCAAACAGTGGCAGCAGCTTGGGGAAACGCAAGCTTGCAGCCGTGGCTCACCTGGCACTGGGGGGTGCAGCGGAGGGGACAGGCAGAGCCAGCCGTTGTCACCACGCACAGCCCAAACACAGCGACGGAACAGAAACACGCTGCCTTCAGCCTAAAAATACTCCCAGAGCCACGTAAGCGGCTATTTCTTGTTCCTGCCTTGAAAGGATCCAAGACAAAGCTAGAGAGGACAAAGCCCAAGGTCGAGCCTTTTGCCAGGACATCCACAGAACATGGGAAAGTTTTCCTTTCTCCCAGGCAAGAAGGCCAAAAAGCTCTCAGGCGTTGCTGGGCCATTTGGGGACAAAACTGGGCCACCGAAGGCAGCAGGAGCAGAGCCACTGCCTGGGTGACACTGCTGGGTGTCACCTCGGCTCCGTGGCACCCAGCAAATAATTTGTGGGAGTGGTGAAAGCCTCTGGAGATGAGCACAGAAGGGCAGCCAGGTGATGGGCAGGGGCTGCCAGGGGCGGCGGTGGCCGTGCCGGAGCCGTGCATCCGCTGCAAAGCCCAGGAGTGTCCCCAGGCAGCGGGCTCGGGCAGCCGGCCAGCGTGAGGCTGTGTTTCCACTCTCTCATACCTGGCACCAGGCTGAGCTCTCCCCGAGCAGCCTGGAAGGAGTTTAACGCTTCCCTCGGCCGCCAAAAGCCGTGCGGGGACCCAGGCACCGCCCGCCTGCCCCACCGGGGTGGCTGCGCCCCTGGTGCCTGGGAACAAAACCCCAGAGATTTTAAGGCACAGAGCAGCGATTTCCCATGGATGTGTGCAATTTGTCGGCTCTGAGGGTGCAGCACCCAAAATCTCCTCCTGGCACCTCGACCACAGCCGCGTTTCGGCAGCCCCCACCTCGCTGTCCAGCTCCAGGTCGCGGGCACTGCTGTCTCCCCCATCGGGCTGAGCTCTCGGCACAGGGGGAGAAAACTCCTGGTGATTTATGTCCTGAAGCAAAGCTAATGCCTTTAGGAGGAGGTCTCTCACGCCAAGTCCTAGCTTCAGAAAAAATAAATAAATAAAATCGCATTCATTAGTCAGCTCACTTGGCTGGATCTGTAATAAGAATGTAATAAACTTTCCATATGTCTCTGATAAACCAGGCAGCTTAAGTTATGAGCAGAAAAAGGCATCAATTTTTAAAATGTCAGAATTTGCCATGCAGCTTGGGCCAAGCACTTGTTCTCAACGAGACAGGGGAAGGAGCCGGGTCCAAGTTTAGAGCCGAAGGGGAGGGGGGAGGCCGTGCCAGCCCCACGCTCGCCGCTTCATTTAAAGCCCTCGTTTCCACCAGCCGAGCACTTCTGAGCCCCCAAAACTTCTTCTGTAGGTTTCACCCTCCGGATCGCTGCCTGGAGGGGCTGCAGAGCAGTGTCAGGATCACAGCCCCTGGGCACTGCCCTTTGGAAAAGGGCTTTTGAGAAGTGTCGATGCCTGCAGGCAGAACCCAAACTCACCCCAGCGACCAGGCCAACACAAGACCTTCAAATCCCATTAAAAGTCTCTTCCCACTGCACGGAAGCCGTGGGAGATGGACGCACACACCCTAAAGCAAGCAGACCCTGGCCCCGGTGACCAAACCCGCAGCACAGCCAACACCATCTGGCAGCAGCACCACGCTCGTGGCCAGCCAAATCCCCGAGGAAAACCCACTTTGGGGTGCACAACACAGGGCAGACCCACCAGCACCCCCTGCACAGGGCACAGCTCCCTGGGGACACCTCACCTGGGGTGAATCCGGGCCCGACCAGCCCCAAAGAGTGATGGTTTTTCAGCACTTTAATTACAAAGCAGTAGGCGAGAACAGCATGTCTGATGTTCAGCAGGAAATTGAACTGCAGAAGCGAGTCAGACATATTCCTACACGGCTCCCTTAGCAACTCTGGGAAAGTTTCCAAATTCCTGCACCATTAACATTTAAGGAATCGTCTCTGAACTCTGGTAGTTAAACAGTGAGGAGAAACAAGACACTGTAAATGGATTTGTTCGGTGTAGGTCAGGCACTGAAGGGGCTGTTTAAATCAGGGCTTGCTGCTTCACAGTGACGGCAGAGGTCTGGCCCGAAGCACTCCATCATTTGAAGCTTACCACCTTTTTATTATTATTATTTTTTTTGATCACTATCAGGCATCGGCAGCACCCTGCACCCAGAGCCACCGGGCTGGGGGCTCCCATCCACACCCACAGTGCATCCATCCACAGCACAGAGCATCCCTGACACTGCACCAAGAGACACCTTGCTGCTCTGGGCAGGAGAGAACACCGTGATTTATTCCCCCAAATGCATCGGCTTGACATCTTTATCGCTGTTTGCAGCAGGAGCAGACGTCGGTGCCAGAGAGGGACTGCACACGCCGTCCCCGACAAGCAATTGCGTTTCTCTGATGCCCGGCACAGGGTGCTCCGGGGGCTCGGGACGCCCTTGAGCATCCCTTGTTTTGACTGAATCATTTCCTGGCTAAATCACTGCAGCTGCCAGCACCACGACGTGTGCCTCAGGCTGCTGTTGGCAGCTACAGACCACAGTGTCAGGCTGTGTTTTCTCTCCAGTACCCACCTCGTACCTGAGCGCGGTCTGAGTGCCCACTTTCCGAGGGTAATGGGATAGGTGGTGGTGGAAAATGTCCCTTTCCAAACAAGCTGGAGTTTTCTGGCCTGAAAGGTGAGCAACAGCCCACAAGACACCGTTTCTTCCCTTGCTTTTCAGTTATCCTGCCCCATGCTGCATGGAAGCATAACTGTAGTTGCAAGCCTCTGACTCAGTGCCCTCAAACCCAGCTGGGAACCAGCTCACTGTTTCCTCTGTCCTCTTGCAAAGGTGCCAAACCCATGGATTTGGACATCTAAATCTGGGAATCTCATTCTTCGTTCTTATTTTTTAAGCCAGATGTGTGAATGCACCCACCGTGGCAGCCTGTGCCTGGCAGCCCCCGTGCACCAAACGCTCGTCCTGCGTCCAAGCTGCTGATGGCACCTCACGGCGATGCAAGGCACAGAGCGTGAAGGGAGCAGGGAGAGGAGAGGATTTACCAGCAGAGCAGCTCCCGTGGCTGGAAACCACCTCCACGGGGCTCGAGCCCCATCCAGCTCCCTGAGACTGATACAGTGCCAGGGAGCCCTTGAGCACGGGGTAACAAACTCAACCCCAGCTCCAGTCAGTTCTCCCGTTTATAAAATAAAGTGCCCAGCCTCATCAACCCACAGAGCAAGGAGGGGGCTGTCCCCTGTAGGGACATTGTGTCCCCCAGCGTGCTCGTGCAAGCAGGCAGCTTCTGTGCACGGGGTACCAGAGGCTGCCTCGGAAAAACACGTGCCATTTGGAGACGGTACAAAGCACTTGTGTTCCTCTGCTGCCCAAATGTTTGCTAGATGTGTAATTCTCTCCACTAACAAACCCAGAGGGAAAAAAAAAAAAAGTCTGGAAGGGTTTTGTACGCTCTCCTGGGACCATGTTTCAAGTCTAATTGCCACTACGCATCTTTAATTTCACGTGGTGTCCTTGCAGCTTCTCCTAACGCAAACTGGGGTTATTCGCACCCAGAAAGGTGCTCAAAAAGCCCCAAAGTGAGCTTCTGCCTCGGGTGCATGGATGGGGCTGGGACAGGCTCTGCGCTGGGGAAAATGAAGAATCAGCCCTGCATGGATGCTGCAGCCCCAAAACACAGCCCAGCTGGCCCCGGCACTGCTCAGCTTGAGAAATAAAACCCAGACTTGCTGACGTGCCCCCCCACCGTCCCCTGCTCCTCGATTTACTGTTATGTATTCGGACACGTCCCCGTTCACCTGGTCAATAGTGCTGCACCGAGAGCCTATCGCTCAGCCGCACCCGCAGCGCTCGGGCAGCGATGCTCCGGCATCAATCACCGGGTGCAGGAGAAATAACAGCCCCGGAATATTGTTGTCCCAGGATTAATGCCTCTTGCTGTGAAAACAAACGTCCC